TGTTCCTTTGGTGAGCCCTTCCCTGAGGCGGCAGACAGCTGCCATATCTGGGACTCCAGCAACCTGGCTCACACTGGTAGCCCCGCCCTGGGGATTCCCTGAGGCCCCGCCCCACCCCGCCCAACTTTCAGGCCCACCCAAGCTGTTGCCAGTTGTTTAACCATAGGTTTGGCCTGTCTTGGATCCTGCTTCAGGTTTTCCTAAATTCTTTCTAATAAGCAGCATCTGGTCTCAGCTAGCCCCATACCTCTCGTTACGTAATACACAGAAACAAACACAGAGAGGCAGCCAAAATGAGGAGACAAAGAAACAGGTCCCAAATGAAAGAACAGAAAAAATCTCCAGGAAAAGGACTACATGAAATAGAGATAAGCAACCTAACAGATGCTGAGTTCAAAATACTGTTTATAAGGATGCTCAATGAACTTAGTGAGAACCTCAGCAAACTTAGTGAGGACCAGTCAGAAACGAAGTGGCACTAACTGAAATAAAGAATAATTTACACAGATTCAATAGTACAGTAGGTAAAGCCAAGAAGCAAACCATCGATTTGGAATATAAGGAAGCAAAAAACACCCAATCAGAACAGCAAAAAGAAAAAAGAATCCAAAAAAATGAGGATAGTGTAAGGAGCCTCTGGGACAACTTCAAGTGTGCCAACATTCGCATCTTGGGGGTGCCAGAAGGAGAAGAGGGAAAACAAGAAACCGAAAACCTATTTGAAACAATAATGGCAGAAAATTTCCCTAACTTGGTGAAGGAAACAGACATACAAGTCCAGGAAGACAGAGAGTCCCAAACAAGATGAACCCAAGAGGCCCACACCAAGACACATCATCATCAAAATGCAAAAGGTTCAAGACAAGGAGAGAATCTTAAAAGCAGCAAGAGAAAAGCAGTTACCTACAAGGGAGTTCCCATAAGACCGTCAGCCGATTTCTCAAAAGAAACTTTGCAGGCCAGAAGGGAGTGGCAAGAAATATTCAGAGTGATGAAAAGCAAGAACCTACAACCAAGATTACTTTATCCTGCAAAGCTGTCATTTAGAATCGATGGCCATATAAAGAGTTTCCCAGACAAGAAAAGTTAAAGGAGTTCATCACCATCAAACCGTTATTATATGAAATGTTGAAGGGTCTTTTTGAAGAAAAAGATAAAATATATGAACAAGCAAAATGGCAATGAATACATATCTATCGACAATGGATTCTACAAACAAAATGAACAGGCAGAACAGAAACATTCTCATAGATACAGAGAACATTTTGTTGGTTGCCAGATGGGAGGGGGGTTGGGGAATGGGTGAAAAAGGTGAGGGGATTAAGAAGAACAAATTGGTTGCTAGACTGACAAACCTCAAAGAGAAGGGGGATGGGGGGGGGAAATAAACCAAAGAACTTATATACATAACCAATGGACACAGACAACAGTGTGGGAAAAGGCGGGAGGGAGGCAGGAGGGGGCGGGAGTGGGGAGGAGGGGGTCAATGGGGGAAAAATGAGGAACATCTGGAATACATTCAACAATAAAGATTAAAAAAAGAAAAAGAAAAGCAGATGTTCAGTACCTAGATGTTTGCCCTGCCATATATATAACTCATAAAAAGTTATCTCTGGGCTCGGGACAGTTTGGCTCAGCAGTTAGAGCATTGGCCCACAGACTGAAAGGTGGTGGGTTTGATTCCCAGTCAAGGCCATGTCCCCGGGTTGCAGGTTTGATCCCTGGCCCAATCAGGGTCATGTGGGAGGTAACCAATTGTTGTGTATCTCTCACATTGATGCTTCTCTCTCTCTCACACACCCTCTCCCCCCACCCCTTCCACTCTATCTAAAACAATCAATGGAAAAATATCCTCAAGTGAGGATTATCCAAAAATAAATACATTTTTTAAAGTTGTCTCTGGTGATAAGGCTTATTATGGACAAGGCCCCAAATTTATATTCTTTAAGACAGAGGTAAAAGTTTCTCATGAGCCCACAGAGTCTCAACTGCCTTCAGCTCAAAATAATTCCCACGACAAGGTCGCGCATCTTGGACAGACTGCTCTGTCCCCTTCAGCCCCGCCTCGGAGACCCCGGGGAGTGTTACGGTCCAGCAGTCGGGTGCTGGCCGTCCCACATCTCGAGAAGGTCGGCTCAGCTGACTACTGCCTCTCCGTCGGGGGAGGGGGGGGGGCAGGGGCGCCGGGGGCCCCAGGCAGGCCTGCGGCAGGAGCAGTGAGGCAGCCAAGGGGCAGCTCGGTGGAAACTAAAGGCAGGAGTGGTTCCCAACTGGAGCGGACTGGAACCCGGCTCCTGAGAGCAGCAGGCGGCCAGTCCAGAGCTCCGACGTCTCACTCGAAGCCTCTTCAGACGCAGGGAGAACAGCGGGCCGGCTGACGGCTCCCGGTTCGCAGTTGCAGCGCCCACAGCGCGGCGCCCACAGCGCGGCGCCCACAGCGCGGCGCCCACAGCGCGGCGCCCACAGCGCGGCGCCCACAGCGCGGCGCCCACAGCGCGGCGCCCACAGCGCGGCGCCCACAGCGCGGCGCCCACAGCGCGGCGCCCACAGCGCGGCGCCCACTCCCGCGAGCGGCTGGGATCCTGCCTCACATCGAGCCGCCCACGCTGCGCTGTGGCTTTGGAGAAAGGTCTGTTTTAGTTCTCAATAATTCCAAGTCAGAAAGGTGGAAAAACAAACAAACAAAATGTCAGCGTTCAGTCCAATTTGCAGATACAAAACAAAAACCTCAAAAGACAGTGAACAGCACTAGAATTTAATATCCAAAACATGCGTTACTGAAATAGAATTTTTATCTTTAAAATTATACCTATTTTGATCAAAGATAGCCAAATGAAGACTAATTTATACACAAATTATGTCTAGTTTCAATAAACTTAGCCTTTTATTTACGTAGGTGCAAAGAGAATTGTGAATAACCATATAGAATATCTTGAATCTGCTTTGCTGGAATTTTTCGTAAGAAATTTTTATGTTGAACTTTAAAAGGCCTCTCAAGGCCAGAAATGCCAAGCCAAGGATTTGCCATTAGGCTCTGCCTACAATACCCATAGATTTGGGTGAATTCCAGTGTACTTGAGGTCCACAAAATATATTGAATTTCCTGCACCTGCTAGGAAGTGGCCTTCCGTACTCACCTGGTAAGGTTGCTGGGAACCCGGTGTGCAAGATAGCAGGCCAATATTTCCAAGGGTTTTATTGGCTTTCATATGTAAATATTTTCTTTTTTCCTTTAAATTTATTTATTTATTTATTTTTTGTTAATCCTAATCAGAGGATTATTTTTTTTCCATTGATTTTTAGAGAGAGTGGAAGTGTGGGATGGAGAGAGAGAGAGAAACATAGATGTGAGAGAGTCACATCAACTAGTTGCCTCCTGCACACACCCCAACTGGGCCCAGGTCTGAACCTGAAACCCAGGTAAGTGCCATGATCAGGAATCGAACCCGAAAGCCTTCAGTGTGTGAGGCAACGGCTCTAACCACTGAGCAAGGTCTAAGCCAACACCAACCAGGACTAAGTCTTTTCTTGTTTTATCCTCGCCAGAGGATATGTTCCCATTGACTTGAGAGAGAGAGAGAGAAACATTGGTGTGAAAGAGAAACACTGATTTGGTTGATTGCCTCTCCTCGGAGTCCTGAGGTGGGTAGGGAGTCAAATCGGCCACCTTTTGGTGCATGGGATGACACTCCAACCAGCTGAGCCATCCAGTCAGGGCAATCTGATATTTTTTAATATGGTTCCTTATTCTCTCTGCTCCACTCATGCACAGTAGTCCAGATCTTTTTGCAAAGATTGTGTTATTGATTACTGACCCACCGAAACAGGCCCTGGATCCCCATAAATGGGCTGAGATTTCCTGGGGGGTGCAGTGGGAAGGCCCTGGCCTCCTCCTGAGCCATACTTTGAGGTGTTCGCTTCCTGTTCCCTAGAATGCCACCATTCTCCTGCTGGGTCTGCGGCCTCCTCACACCCCAAGTTTGAAAGGATGGTTGTGAGTACTGAGCTAGTTTCCTTTAGAACTTGAACCAGACTACACAGACCCAAAAACCAAAAGTCAGAGATAGGAATGCACAGATCCGTAACGAAGGCTACTGAAAGTTGGCATGAGAAAACAACCCCTCTCAGCTTCAAACCTTCCTGCGGAACAGACGGTACAGAAAACAAGGCGCAAAGAGCGGGGGGGGAGGGGGGGGGGCTCCTCGGGCGCGCCCCGCCTCCTGGGCCCGCCCCTCCTGCCAGCCTCGCCCCACCCCGGGCCCGCCCCTCCTGCGCCCGGAGACTCTCCTCAGAGCGCAGCCGCGGGTCCCTCCTTGTTCTAACAGCTTCATTTCGTTTTTAAAAAGCCTGTGAGCCTGGGCTGGCCCTGATTCCACCCAGATCCCTAAAATAAGGAAGCTTGGGGTCTAGGGGTCGAAGAGAAGGTGTGTCTAGTCAATAACAGGGGCAGGCCGGGCTGCAGGGAGGGCGGGGCAGGAACACCTGCCTGCATTCTGGAGTCTGCAGCCCAGGAATGTTGGAGCAAAGGTCCTGCCTTCTGGGGGAAAAAAGGGAGGTAGTAGAGTTTCCAAGATCCCTTCCAACTCTAAATCACAGCACTACTCCAGGGACGTTTTGTGTGGGGTCTTTATGATCAGACGATCCTAGAACTTTGTTCAAGCTGGGGCTAAGGGCGGGAAATTGGACAATGGAGGCAGGTGGGCTCTTGCCTGATTCCATCCGGCACAGAAGGAACAAGACTGGGAGACTTCCAACAGCTGTCTTCTAGACAAGCATGTCACGGGACAGTTTCTGGAGAACTTCTCTCTCTCTCTTTTCAGTGACCCCCTAACCCCCAAAACTTTCTCTAGTGCCTGCCCCCTGGCCCTCTTTTAGGCTGTTTTAGTACTTGCCAGGACTTCCCTTGTGAAATCTCCAAGACCATACCTAGGAAGCGGGACTGAAGGAAAGAGACCAATTGCTTCCACAAGTCAGGGACAGACAACCACAGGAGCACCAGGGAGACCAGCAAAACCAGTGTTGGTTTTTATTGAGATGTCAAGGTAGAGTAACGCCGAAGAGCAGAGCCGACTTGAGTACAGAGGCAGGAATTAAGGGTTTCATAGACAGGCAGGCCTCGGTCTCCGGACTAGGAGAAAGTAGTGGGTGATTTGGGTGCTCACAAGGACTTCAGGAAGGCCCTATATTTGTCCAGGAAAGGAACAGACAGCGTGTTCAGCTCTTGCCGAAGTTCCTCCAGAGCCCTGTCCCGCTCTTCCTGGGTTCCCGTCATCTGCTGCCTATAATAGGTGATGTACAAGTTCACCCAGTCATCCACTATAGTCATCATGGCTTCTTCGGAGACATGGGGTTCACTGAAGACCTGGGTGAGGGAGGTCAGCAATGTAAGTCAGAAACAACCCACACCCACATACTCTGACATCCTCTTCTCTCTGGGTTGTATTCCCTGTCCCTAATTAGTTGTTTCCATCAACTCCAGCGTTACTCTCCCAGCTACAAATGATTCTCCCTTCCCTGCCCTCGCCACCCCTCAACACTCCAGGCCTGTCCTTTGAAACAGAGTCCCTGGGCTTACCTGCTGATTCAGCAGAGCATTGAATTGCTTTATTCCTGTGGAGATGACATCTTTATTAGCCTGAAGAAGAGCCATCTGCCTGTTTAGAGAAAGAAAATTTAAGTATCCTTTCCCTCATCCCTAGGTAGTTCCCCCAATTTCCTCTCTCCTCTTAAAGATTCCTGGTGCCCTGCAGGGTCAGCCCCCCCACCCCCCCACCCCAATACCTTTCAAATCCTGCCCTGATCTGAAATTACATTTCTCCCACTTTGGCTCACCTTGAGGACCAACGGTGCTGTTATGTCTCACCCACACTTTCAGAGAATGTGTGTCCCTTTGCGCCAAGCTAGATGCAGGCAAGGAGTCAAGCGCCAGCCTAAGAGGGAAACGCCCTGCATCTGGGTCCTGAGGGAGGGTGATAGGTCAACCAGGGGAGGGGAAGGAGGGAGAGGCGTCCCTGAAGTTAGAAAGATAGCAAGGCCATGAGGCACAGATAAGTGGAGAGACCCAGAAAGCCAGACCAGGGCCAGATCCTGGCCCTCTACCCACATCGCAGTATCCAGGCTCCAAATGCTAACAAAACTAACATTAACTGACCCCCTATTACATGACAGGCACTTTAAAATCATCACATCAATATAATGGCAATTATTCTCCCAGTTCATAGATGATATATTAAGAGCAGCTTATATTTATCACTGATGCCAGGCACTGTTAGGCAAGTGCAAGTCATGTCACGATTTACACATGGGCCATCTGTAAGATGTGGGGACTGAACTGTACCAGGCTGTGCTCTGCCAGAATGGAGACATAGTTGTCTTGTTCTCTAACATATCATTAGATACTCAACAAAGTAGAAAATCTCCTTCTTCTTTTTAAATATTTTCCTAATGTTTTCCATTTTTAATAGATGTTTTTCAAATTTCAAAACAACACAGACTAATTGAGTTAAGTGAAACATTACAAAAACTGTACTCTGAAAAGGTGATTATTTTTGTTCCCTTCCTCTACAGCATTAAAGATGTGTGTGTTTCCCGTTACATCTTTCTGAATTCAAAAACCAGCATTCATACTTCATAGGTGCCTATACATTCATAGATATTTGTTAATTTTATTTTTTGTTTATAGCATTTTCTTAATTAACATACAGCAAAATTGACCTCATTTTGGTATACAATTTGTGAATTTTAATACATAGATTCATGGTCACCGGTTCAATTCCCAATCAGGCACATGCCCAGGTTGTGGGCCCAATCCCCAGTTGGGGGCATGCAGGAGGTAGCCAATTGATGTTCTTTCTTGTCGATGTTTCTATCTCTCTCTCTTTCCCCCTTCCTCTCTCTCTAAAATCAATTTTAAAAAAATGTAGATTCGTGTAACTACTACCACAATCAGGACACAGAACATTTCCATCACCCCAAAAAACTCCTTCATGCCACCCCTTTATGGTCTCCTCCAGTCCCATCCCTAAACCCTGCCAATAATCGATCTGTTCTCCATCACCACAGCTCAGTGTTTTTGAGGATATCTTATAATGGAATCATATAGTGTTGGAATCAAGCTTTAAAACTGGCTTCTTTCACTTAGAATAATGCCTTTAAGATTCATCCAAGTTTTTGCAAGTAGCAATCATTTGATCCTTATCACTGCTGTGTGCATCGCACGAATACATCCAGTTTATCATTCACCCACTGATGAACAACTGGATTGTTTGCAGCTTGGGACAAGCTTGAGTAGAGCTATAAATTTTTGTCTACAGATTTTTGTGCCAATATGTTTTCATCTATCTAGAGTAGAAATGACTTGTTACCACCAGGACAAGTAATTGCAATACAACCTGACAAAGTTTTTCCGAGGAATAATTTGACAATACTTGTTCAAATTAAAATATACATACCTTTGGCCAGGCCAGTGTGGCTCAGTGGATTGAGCATCGTCCCATGAACTGAGAGGTCCTGGTTTGATTCCTGGTCAGGGCACATGCCTGGGTTGTGGGTTTGATCTCCATCAGGGGACATGCAGGAGACAGCTGATCAATGTTTCTCTCTTACATCGATGTTTCTATCTCTCTCTTTCGTCCTCTCTCTCTAAAAAAAATCAATAAAATATGCATACCTTTTAACCCAATGATTCTGCTTTGGCCTCTATTTTAAAGAAATATTCATTTTCAATGTACAAAAAGGCCTGTACAAAGAATTTACCATACCAGTTTGAAATCATGAAAAGGCAAAATCAACCGGAAGGTCCATTAATATGGGGAATCTAAAGAAATTATGACACATTCATACCAAGGCATGACATGCAGTTAGTAAAATAAATGAGGTTGATATATATGCGCTGATATGAAAAGATCTCTAAGGTGATGTTAAACAAACTACAGTTAGAGCAGGACATCCAGGCTGCGAGTATGGGCAATGAGAATGAGACTAAATGTCAAACTCTGTGTGTGTGTGTGTGTGTGTGTGTGTGTGTGTGTGTGTAGAATGGTAAACAATATTTATTTCTGGGGATTGATGGGCATTAGTTGGGAAATGAAAAGAGGGATAAATGTCAAGTGAGAATTTGACGTGTGTGTGTGTGTGTGTGTGTGTGTGTGTGTGTGTGTAGAATGGTAAACAATATTTATTTCTGGGGATTGATGGGCATTAGTTGGGAAATGAAAAGAGGGATAAATGTCAAGTGAGAATTTGACCTTACCTCTCTATATTATTGTTTAAATTCCTTGTATCCTTCTATTCTTTATGTAATTCATAAAAAAAAAATGCAAATTTAAAAAGAAAGGAAAAATGGTATAGTTCTAAAATCCTTAGCCGCAGGTTTAAATCCTGCCCCGGTGCCTACAACAGTAGCAGCTCTCACTAAATCTTTGTTAAATGAATAAATGAATGACTGTTTTGGCCATCTTCAGTTCTGCAACTGAAGCTGCTTCACATATATAAGCCTCAGTTTTGTCTGTAAAGGAGGAATAAAGTAATACCTACCTTACAAAGGCTATTCATTCCACAAGTAGGATTTGGTACCTACCTTTGTGCCAGGCACTGGCACGAGGCACTGGGAATATATCAGTACCAAAGACAACCTTTCTGTCCTCCTGGAGCTTATGTCCTACTGGGGGGGGGGGGGGGGTGAGAGGATGAATGAAAAGTGGCCAAGTCTGAGAAATGGGCACGGCCCATCTACAGAGTTTTGCAGACCATGACAAAAAGTTTGTGTTTTGTTTTCAATGTGAAGAAAAGCCATCGAGGCTAGTATCAATAAGACAAGAAATAACAAGTGTTGGAGAGGATATAGAGAAAAAGGAACCCTCATGCACTGCTGGTAGGAACGTAAACTGGTACAGCCACTGTGGAAGACGGTGTGAAGGTTCCTCAGAAAATTAAAAATAGAGCTACCTTGTGACTCAGCAACCCCTCTTCTGGGTATTTTCCCCAAAATTTTAAAACATGTACATGTAAAGATATATGTACCCCTATGCTCATTACAGCATTATTTATGGTAGCCAAGACATGGACACAAACAAAGTGTCTTTGATGGATGATTGGATAAAGAAGATGTGGTACATAATACAACGGAATACTCAGCCGTAAGAAAGAATGAAATATTGCCATTTGCGACAACGTGGATGGATCTTGAGAGTACCGTGCTAAGTGAAATAAGTCAGATGGGAAAGGACAAGAACCATGTGATTTCACTCATATGTGGGATATAAAACAGAAAATAACCTATGAACAAACAAAATAAGCAAACTCATAGACACAGATAACAGTATGGTGGTGACCAGAGGGTAACAGGTATGGAGGTAGAATTAAGAGGGAAAAGGGTCAAGTATGTGGTGATGGAAGGAGACTAGATTTTGGGTGGGAGCACACAATGCAATATACAGGTGGTGTATCATAAAATTGTACACTTGAAACTAATATAATGTTATTAATTAATGTTGCCCCAATACATTTAATTTAAAAAAAAGAAAAGCTATCGAAGGATTTGGAGGAGAATGCTACAAACTTCTTCCATAAAGCAATAGGTAGCCACTGAAAGGTTTTTAAGCAGGGGAGTTTTATTGATTGATTGATTTTTAGAGAGAGAAGTAGAGAGAGAAAAAGAGACATCAACTTGTTGTACCACTTATTTATGCATTCATTGATTGACTCTTGTATGTGTCCCGACCAGGGATCAAACTGACAACCTTGGTATATGGGTACAATGCTCCAACCAACTGAGCTACCCAGCCAGGGACTTTAAGCTGGGGAGTTTTAAGCTGCGTGGAAAATGGACTGTAATGAGTGTTGACTGTGTGGGGGTTCAAAACAAGTCACCTCAAGGTGTGCCTCTGTGGTATGCAGATTGTTTTGATCTAGAGGAAACCGAAACACTGTTGGCTCAATAACTTCTTCCCTGACTTAATTACCTAGTACAGGTCCTCCTGCCCATAATAAGAGATAATCAGAGATAACATTTTTAACCTATAGATGGGGCAAGGAAACATTATTATTATTATTATTATTATTGAAAGTATTACAGATGTTCCCCTTTTTTTCCCATTGACCCCCTCCCTCCCAATCTCACCCTATTCCTGTCTTCCCAACCTAATATCCATGTATATTGGTTGTGCATATATACATATAAGTTCTTTGGTTTTCACTGGAGATTTTCAAGATGGTGGCGGGGAGGAATGGAGCAAGGGTGAGTGTGTGAGAGTGTGAGTGAGTGTGACAGAGTATGAGTGGACATGAGTATGGAAGAGCAACCTCAAGCAGTGCAGAAACGTAGGGCAGAGGGTTTCTATTCTGTGGATGAGAAGCAGCCAGCTACCATGGTAAGTGGCTTGTCAGGGTGCTTCTCCCTGCATGGCCAGAAGTCCCTGCCATTTTGGAAGATCCTTGGTCTTCTCTGGGAGGAGGCAGCAGGGAGCAGATGGAGCTGAGCCACCTGAGTCCACCAGTTCGCCTTGTACCACTGGACCAGTGGACCCCACTGTGTCAATGTGGACCACCTCACAGTAGCAGTGCTATTGAGGTGCCTGCTGTGGTAGCCACAACCGGCCAGGAGCTGAACACCCTCCCCCACAGTAGCAGCCTGATGGGAGCAGAGCACCATCCCCCACAGCTGCAGCCTGAGCAGAACCAAACATCACCCCAAGCAGCAGCAAAATCCCGGGAGCTGAGCAGCCTCAGCCTCCAATAACAGGAGAGGATTGGGAGCTGAGAGTACCCCCTGGCAACAGCAGCAGCAGTAGCAGCACAAACCATGAGTTGACACTTGTCCCCAGCAGCATCAGCAGTGACTGATCAGGAGCTGAGCCTGACCAGGCAGCAGCACACCATAGCAACACCACAGCAGGAACCATGTACCCCAGAAGCATACCAGCTGGACCCACACACCCCAGGAACACTTACCAGGACAGACCAATA